TGAACTATAGTCTAAAGTCCTTAAAAGGGGTTTTATAGGGGATAATGTAGGGGACCTCTATGGGGGGATACTAGGACTAGGAGTTTAGAATATAGCTCATATCATCGTGCTGCCGAGAAAGGTACCAATGGGCATGACAAAGGATGATGTCTGCATAGTCCATACGTGGACGGCTGCAATTCCCCATTGAATAGTAGTTTGCTTTTTGTTGTCCATTATCCTTAGACTCATAACCCTGACATAGTAGCCTCCATTTTCTTTTCCATTATCCCCTATAGACCCAGACTTTTTCCCGGGCCTGTTCGAGAAACCCGACATCAGAAGCAGATAAAGCAGAATCAGGTTTTCAAGAGCAAATTGCCAGAACTCGCGTCGCTTATTGTGAAAGTAGTTGGACCAGTACAAAACAAATTGCTCCCAAAGCAATTCTTTCTCCCATTACTGTTCATTCGTCAAGAACCCTGGGCTGTAACACGCCAGCAGAGCTCAAAGGCCTGTGCCAGCGCAGACCTTTGACGCAACTGCGCTCTCAACGGAGGACATCCCGGGCTTTGGAGTTCTCCCAAACACAAGGGACGCCAGAAGTTACTTAGGGGTATACTAGGGGTATATGAGCTATAGTCTAGTCTCCTTAAGGGGGTGTATGGAGGGGATTATATAGGGGAGTACTATAGGGGTTATTAAGGGGCATACTAGGAGTTCAGACCATAGCTCATATTGGGATTGTATTTGGGTTATGTTAGAGGGACATCTCTGCTATGGCGACCCTTTCTCACCTAAAGTAAGGTAGAGTAGATAGCACTGGGGCGTTTTGACTGAACAAGCTGACCTTGTAACTGCGCACAAAACAAAACCCTAAATCCTAATCATCGTTTGTGAGAGCTTCTCTCTACCTCATGACAAGTTTGATTTCTTAACTTACCTTTAGTTGGCTAGGGATGAAGGAATGGATCCTTATTGTAGTCCCTATATCACCCAGTAGAATCCCAAAATTATAGTAGTTCCCACTTTCTTTTCCATTCCTTCACTCCTAGCTAACCAAAGGGCCAGTTAGAGGAGCAGATCAGCCTGAAGAAGGCCACAGAAGAGAAACTGAGGCGCTGCGTTGGCTTCCATGGCGACATCTTGGGGGTTCAGGGGAGTTTTTGGCGCAGGGTTTTGGGCTTCGGGTTTGGTGTGTAGGCTTCAGGGCTGGGCTCAGGGCTTAGGCTACAGGATTCAGAAGCTTGTCCTGACCGACTTGCTTGTGCTACTGCTACTGTTGTTGTTGTTGTTGCTGCTGCTGCTGCTGCTACTATTACGGCGACGACGACGACTACTACTACGACTACTACTACTACTACTACTCCTCCTGTGCTGCTACCGTAATTGCTTTCCGACCTGCAACAGCTACTATTGATGTGATGTTAATGCCACTCAGATTCCCCCTCGTCTCCTCATTTTGCTACTATTACGATTGCTGAGCCAGCTTAGTGATTATCGGACAACTTTCAGCGCGGTTGCATGATTGTTCTTGCTACGTACTATACCCTAAACCCCTAAACCCTAAATCCTTATCCCATCTGGATTGTAGCCCTGGAGACTGACCATTAAGCGCAAACGCTACTGTACAACACTGCACCCTCTACCCCTGAAACCCCCTGAACGCCTAAAACCCCAGGCTGTAAACCTGCGCTGTCATGGGTCCCTTTTTGAAACAGGGGCATGGAGGGCCTTCTGGCGAACATTGGCGACAGCGCCCTTGATAAACTCGCCCAGTTGACGGCTGGAGACCTACTGCGCAGTTTCAAAGTTGGTTGTTCTACCTGATATAACCCTATAATGGAATAGTATCCATTTTCTTTTCCATTGTCCCCCCCATATAACCCCAAAATAACCCTAAACCCTACACCCGAAATAGGTTGCGGGGTATACACATTGGGGAGGTGACATTTTGGCGGGGCTTGGTGGGGGCTTTAAGTTGCTTCGGACGATGGTCATCATGGTCCCTGTGATACCAATGATGTTGAATGCGGTTTAGGGGTTTAGGGCAAGTTCCTGCGCGTGTCTTAGTTTCCTGTGTGTGGGAATCGGCAGATGATCACGAGTGTTGTCTGCTGGTTGCTGCAAGTACCCGGCAGTCTGCAAGAGGCCTGGATGCAAAAAGGGCCTAGGGTTGAGTGCACCAATGGCAAGCAAAAGCTCATCACAGTTTCAGTTTGATTTTCCGTTCTCCTTGCCATATGACTCATTATTGGTAATGACAAACACTGAGCCATAAACCTTTCACACCCGTACATGCAGGTCATGACATGGAAGTCCGAAGTGGCCAAATGCCGGCACTGCAGACGCAAAGAGAGGTTTGAAGGACCTGGCCTGAAAAGTGCCCCTTTGATTTCTATAGTTTTCCCACTAGCACCACACTAACTTCAGCCCAACTGGGCAAGAGTTTTGCTGAACCCTGAAATCCCTAAGCCATGCAAAAAGGAGTCCTGTAAACCCGACAGCCCTGAACCTCACGTTCATCCTGGCCTAGCCTAAACCCTAAACCCTAAATCCCTAAACCCCAAAGCCCCAAAACCCCTAAACCCTAAAGTCCATCCTGGCTTAGGTCCGACTGCTTGTGAGTGGCAAGGACATGCTGGCAGAGTTAAAGCCCTTCGCCACTTTCTCGGCTCTTCCGTGTGAATTGGAGCTATGAAGTTCAGTAGAGGGGTTCAAGGGGTTTAGGGTTTAGGGTTGAAGGGTTTAGGGTTTAAGGAGGATTTAAGGGTTTAGGGTTTAAGGGTTTAAGGGTATAGGGTTCGATTCCCAGTCACAAGGGCAACATTCGAAACCTGTACTTCTAGACCCGGAACCCGAAACTTGAATCATCTCCATCCTCAACTCTAAACCCTGACCCTTAAAACCAAGTCCCAAACCCTAAGCCTACACCTTAAATGGGCATTACAACAATCAGGCTCCCTCAATGCACCGTATTTTGCTATGCGAATTATCAGGCGCCGCCTCCTTGAACTGTTGGAGGCCGGTCGTTGCAGCCCCTCCACCCTAAACTACAAAACATCAAGCCCTAAACCTTCACCTACTAAGCCAGAAGCCCTAAACCCAAAATCCCTAAACCCTAAATCCCTAAACCCTAAATCCCTAAATCCCTAAACCCTAAACCCTAAATCCCTACATCCCTAAACCGTAAACCCTAGACCCAGAACTTCAAGTTGTGGTCAAGGTGGGCAAACAACAGGCGACAGAGCTGGTGGTGGGCGACTCAAGCATGGATGCCATACAGGGTTATAGGTTTAGGGTTTAGGGTTAAGGCGTTTGTAGAGGGGATTACATAGGGGACTGCTATGGGGGTTACTAAGGGGGATACTCGGAGCTTAGATTATAGGTTTTTGATGGTTTAGTGTTTGCACACCCTGAATTCAAAAACTGAACCCCACATCTTGCATTACATCCGAACTGCTGAAACCCAAGCCTCAAGCCCTAAGCCCTAAACCCCAAAACCACAAATCCTAAACCGTAAACCCACCGTCTTCGGCTTAGGCGTGGGTGGAGGAGCATTGCAGATCCCGGGAAGAGACTAGCAACACTGCGGAAGAAAGTACTGAAGAAAAAGCTCGCTGCCTGGTTCATAGGAACCCTTTCTGAGCTGGTATCCCCCTTAATAAGATACAGGTATATACAGGGATGTTACCCCAATAATGGAGACTCAAATGGAATAGCAAATGGAAAATGAAATGGAAACTGCTATATATACATATACACAGGATTATAGGAGCTATAGTCTAAGCTCCTTAAAGGGGGTTACGTCGGGGATTATATGAGCTACTGTCTAAACTCCTAAAAGGGGGTTATATAGAGGATTGTATAGGGGACTACTACAAGGGGTTATCAAGGGGGATACTAGGAGTTTAGGCTATGGCTCATAGGGTCTAAAAAAAGGTTATATATGGATGATATAGGGGAGTATCATACGGCTTACCGAGGGGGATACTAGGACTTCGGACTATAGCTCTTCTAAGTTTGTGGGATTTCTAAGGTTAGAAGTATGGGCCTCCAAAATGGGCGCTTAGGCCTTTTGGGGGATGCTAGGGACTCTTAGGGTACATATAGGGTACATACCAGGTGTATAAGGATCTCAGTGTCAAGGTCCCATACTAGGCGTTCATGGTGTCAACCTTTGAAGATGCAGGGTTCAGGATTTGGGCCCGGGGTGGGTGTCCACGGGGGCCCCGTTAAACGCAGATGATAAGGGGTATGTGTTTAGAAGCACGATATAGGGATGCTGTAGGGAATGTGATAGTGCAGGCGTGATAGGGGCTGTAACGATCCACTCACCCTAAACCCTAAACCCTAAAACCCTGAACCCTATCCATGATCTTCGGAGTGTCGAGCTTTCAGTCTGCTGCCTGAGTTCTGAATGCACATGAGCTATAGTCTACACTCTTCCCCCTCATAACCCTTATAGTAGTTCCTCATATACTACCCTACATAACCCCCCTTTAAAGGAGTTTAGACCCTTAACCGCAAACCCTAAATCCTAAATCCTGAACCCTAAAGCCTAAACCCTAAATCCTATATACTCCCCTGCAAAGCCCCCTTGAAGGAGTTTAGACTATAGCTCACATGTCTAGGTCTTGCGCATGTGACTGCTGCGTTGCTATGCTCAACCCACAGCACCCGGTGATGCTATAGTTACTGTAGCCAGTATAATCCCTGCAGTCCACTTAGGGTTTGGGTTTAGGGTTTAGGGTTTTAGGGTTTAGGATTTTAGGGTTTAGGATTTAGGGTTTAGGGTTCAGGGTTAAGGATTTAGGGTTTGGGGCAAGCTTGTAGGACTTTTCAAAGGCTTCAGGGTTCTTGCGTTGATCTTCCATTGCCACGGCGCAATGTCCCCAGAGGCGTCAAGCTAAGTCGCTGCCGGTGAGCTCTCCCGTTCAGTTTTCTAAAGCCTTGTGCTATCAAATTCCCCCTGTGCTGGATAATGGTACTGATAATGATATAGTAATTGTAATATCAGTAATAGTAATCATAGTAATAGTAATCATAGTAATAACAGTAATGGTAATAAAAGGGGGTGGCAGTGTAGGGTTTCGGAACTCTTTGACTTGGCATGAGAGCTATGTCATGTCTGCTTTCTTTGGAGCAGTAGGAATAGACGACAAGTTCCCTCGAAACAACCGCTTTCAATAGAAACCGTAATGCAGAATCTACCCTAAACCCTCAACCCTCACCCTTGAGGCTAAGCCCCAAACCCTAAGCCTTCGTCCCCCCAGCCTCAACCACTTTCAATCCAAAACCTTAAGCCCTGAGCCTCAGACCTAAGCCGAGTTCGCACAAAGTTGCGGCTTCCTAGCCGAGAAGCCCTTGAACCCCAAAAATGAGGGTTCCCCAAAATTAGGGGTACCCTTCTTGGGGGTCCCCATGATAAGGATTATAGTGTTTTGGGGTATATACAGGGGTCCCCTTATTCAGGGAAACTACCAAATCTGAAGCCCTAGATATGTGTGCACAGCACGGCGCAAACATTACCAGGGGGTTTCCGTAAATCCTGTTTGGGACTTCCCCGTAACAAGGATTGTAATTTTATTGGGGTTAGTTCCAAAACCCTAAACAATACAGTGAACCCTGGAAACCCCATAACCCTAAACCCTAAACCCTAGTCTTATGGAAACCCCCGTGACCCTAAACCCCAAATCCTAAACCCCAAACCCTAAACTAACTCACTGGTTGAGGAAGTAATGCAGGGACTGTGTCTAAGAGACATTTCCGGGGAGCTTCGCCCTAGGAGAAAAGGTCCGATTAAAAACCCTAAACCAACCGAAGTCCCCATAACGCTAAACCCTAAACCTATTGAACCCCTACAGCCTAACCCTATGGAAACCACGCAACCCCAAACCCTAAACCCTAAACCCTAAACTCTACACCTAAACCCTAAACCTTAAACTAAACCCTAAACCTTAAACCCTAAACCCTAAACCCCTTGGTAAAAAGGGCGTCCCACCCGGCTCAGGGATGAAAATATGCGCGGCGGCAACCTCTGGGACCGGCTCCCAGAGTTTAGGGCCTTCAGGGGCTTCAGGGGCTTTAGGGTGTAAGGGTTGTTTCAGGGGCTTTAGGGTTTCAGGCTTTTAGGGTTTAAGGTTTTTAGGGTTAAGGTTTTTAGGGGCTTAGGGGCTTCAGGGGCTTCAGGGGCTTCAGGGGCTTCAGGGGCTTCAGGGGCTTCAGGGGCTTCAGGGTTTAAGGGCTTGTAGGGGCGTAGGAGCTTTAGGGGCGGGCTTTAGGGGCTTCAGGGGCTTTAGAGGCTTTAGGGGCTTTAGGGGCTTGGGGGCTTTAGGGCTTAGGGTTTAAGGGGCTTTAGGGTTTAGGGCTTAGGGTTTGGGGGTTAGGGCCGAGGATTACCTTAGGGAGGATCCTAAAGTATAGTCTAAACTCCTTAAAGGGGCTTATATACGGGATTATATAGGGGACTGCTATAGGGGTTATTAATGGAGATACTAGGAGTTTTGACAATGGCTCATATGTATATCCCCAAAAGTTCCTCAGGATCCCCGTGCTTTGAGGACCAAAAAAACCCAAGTCATCTGAAATCCACCAGGAAGATGGGGCTTATCGTTTTAGAGTTTGCGGAGTTCAGGGACCAGAAAGAGTATAGTGACGCCCTTGCAGTTAGAATATTTTCAAAAAACACGTTAGGCAAATTTTTGC